ATAAGATGAAATGTAAAAACCACAGTTTCCTTCTTCCATTAAACATTTAATTACAGCCTAAATATTCACAGTGACATTGTAAAATAATCATTTATTAACCGCCCTCTCTTTCAGTTTTATTTCTGGGTAAAATAATCCTTCACAGGGACGCATCAGGTCGGTGATAACAGTGACTCAGGAGAAAACAGAGATAATCACACTTTCACAGTGTTTTTGGAGATCACACGTGAACCTGACTGCAGTGTCCCTCTGGGCCTCCGTAGGGGAGAAAATGTGTCTGATTGTAAACTGAATCTCTTTGTGTTTCCACTCAGCTGTTTATTTGCCAATAAATGCAAATTATTATTACATAATTCACCCGTGCAAACCTCCGCCAACGCTGCTACTGTTGCCCCCAAATGCATCATTTCTGTCGGTTTTAGTTTAATTTAAATTCAGCTCTTGACCCTGCAAACACCCCCCCGGGATCAGCACTGAAACTGGATCTTCAAAATCTAATTAGCTCCTTGTGTCCTGAGGCTGTTCGGTCCTCCAAAATCAGAGTAAAATCTGTTGTTAGCTGATGAAATTCACCCGAAATGAACAAAATACCCTTAAAACTATGAGAAAGAAGGCTGAACAGAGGCTTTCTGTTTCGAATGCTGATGGGATGGATTTGTATAACTGAATAAGGACCAGGTCCAGCTGTGGAGTTGAGCCCTGTCCTGTGATTTGTAATAACTGCAGAGGTCAGAAGAGGCTTGGAGTAAGAAGTAACTTAATGTTTAATGTTCCCCCGAATTTACAAGAAGGTCCAAATATTTAATATTCTATCTTAAACAGCGTTTCACAAAGTTCATAAAGTTTGTTTTCACTCTAACTCACAAAATTGTGTGATTTTTAAAGGGAGTCTGGTGATATTGCAGCTGCTAGTTCGCCGGTCAGATGAGTTGAAACTGAACAGTGTGTTCACAAACATCTGCTGCTGATGTTGGTAGAAGAGCCCAAGCACATCATTTGCATTACACTGAACCCAAGACAGCTGTTCCTGTGTACTTACAGGACCTCAGTTATGTAGGCGGTAGAAGTCCCGCCCATACGTCCAGCTGACTCCATCTTTTTATATCTTCAAATAACGAATTAAAACCAAACTGAGAAGAAAAGTGAGCACAAACATTAGCGTGATAAGAACGACCTTTGTTTACAGTCTGACCCACATGAGCTATCCTGCAGTCAGCCACCAGGGGGCGACACATGTTTTTGGCCTCACTTTTAGAGAGCTGTCATGTCGTCCAGCTTTAAAAATGTTAATGCTACCAACCGTGTCATGCTGGCATGCCATTTTCAAAGGGATCCTTTGACCTCTGACCTCTATGGGTCTCCCACTTTATGCTAATCCAACGCTGTTTTGATAAGATATTCCTTTATTGATCCCCTGAAGTACAAATGTTGTGCAAAGGATTAAAAACACAGTGAAATATAAAAACAATGCAGGTTTTTAGAGTGTATTTGAGTTGTTAAATAAACTGGGAATGACTGGAAAGCTTCCCGCCAGCGAGTCACATAACGCTCCCGTCCAGTCTGGAGAAAAATGCAATCACTTTAAATTTAAACACTCAAAGTTGAACCAACATGTTCATTGAATTCCTTCAACAGGAGGCTTTTTAAACGCTCGTGGAGCTGCTGTGTAATTAATCCTGTGAATGAGGAGAAAAGGCTGTGTTCATTCTCCACCGTGGACCCGAGCCCAGACTGTTTATACGGGAAAAATAAAATCCAAATCGGCCTGAAGGACATTTTTTACAGGGATTACGAGGACTTGAGCCAGCGTCCTCTCAGGTGTCGCTGCTGTAACATCTAATTACGCAGATGAACCGGCGGCGGCGGCGGCGAGGCATAAAAGAGTCATTTAGTGTGATCCCAGCTCAGAGGAGAGGAGCTGTCCCGCGGATCAATAGTCGTGTTTAAAGGTTTGCTCGTACACGGCTCAATAGGAGGCGCTCGACTGAGCCCCGGCGGATCGATACCGTCGTTAAACTCAGATTAATACAGGTGAAGGTGAATGATGGCGGCGGCAGGAGAGATGATGCTTATAAAGGATATGAAATCTGTGTGTGTGTGTCTGTGTGTGTGTCTGTGTGTGTGTGTGTGTGTCTCTGACCCATAAACGTGTTTATACATCTATATAGATATATTTATATATACTCCAGAGAACGTCTAATAATAATAATAATAATAAGGAGAACTTCCACTCTCAGTAAACTTCCGGGTTCTGAACTGTTGCAGTTCCCCTCTGGTTCCATGTGAGGGCGCTCACAGGATGAGAGCAGAATGAATGGAGCTCTATGGAGCGATACCCTCACAATCCTCTTCTCTCAGGATATCATTGTTTGTCTAGTAATTTGAATGTTGCATTCGAAAGGGGACGCAAAGACATGACACATTGTTGGGTGTTAGATTCTTTAGAGTCCCTTATTTGTTTTAAAAAGTCTTTTAAAATGTCAGTGACGTCATACACATC